GTAGTAGTAGTAGTAGTAGTAAGGGAAGGAATGAAGAACGAAAGGGGCGGTAAACCCTTAGTTGTCTCCTATTTTCCGCACGCCTGTCCATGACACCGGCTCCACATGTCTAGAGTCTAGAAGGTACCTGAGATGCTCGGGACTATCCCGTCGTAGCTAGATATATGTCAGGAAGCTCGCCTCACCATCGCCCCCGAGTTGGCGTATGGCATTGAGGGTGCCGGAGCCTTTGGAGTGATAAGCAAGTCAGAGCAAAAGCAAGTTTCGAGAGGGATCAGCATGCGAACTGCGCCAACCAACGTCTTCTTGCATACAGCAAACAATACGAGTTCGTTGACGGATTAACTCCTGGGCTCTTGGAACTGTCCATGCGACCTTTCCTCTCGATCCACAATCCTGTTCCTTTCGCTCTGTGTCCTGCGCTTCTCCTTTTCCTTCTCGGCGCTTCCGTTTGTCCGTTACCCAAGAATGCCCGGAGCAACAGCGTCTGATTATCATGAGACTCGTATCATCAGTCGTTCCAACATGGGACACACAATGAGTCATACTGGAAGCCTCATCAGGTACAGGGGATTAGTTCCTCCGCCAACGGCCACGTAAAACGCACTTCTCAGTACTCCNNAGTGCGACGAAACTTTAATCCTGGCGATGTACTCAGCAGCTTAATGGCAGCACTAGTGACACTAGTGGCATCATGTTGCTCTCGCTTTTCACATTCTTCATATCGTTTGGTTTCCTGTGACAGAAGTATTCCGATCTGAACAGGGGTGTCGTTCATCTTACACTCACACGAAATGCTGCCACGGTGATGGGCACGGCGGTTGTGACAATGATGGTGGCGATGGCGATGACCATGATGCCAAGCATTGTTCGTGACGTTGGGATGGGTGAAGAAACAGCGTCAATTATTGAAGAAATGAGGAGTCAGAAGAGCAGAAGCACTGCTGAGCCCTATCCCATAACGACAAGACGAAAGCAGGACCATGATAATGTTGGTTGTCTACCTAATCTAGCGCTGAGAGACTTTTTAATTGAGCTTCGTCAACGAATCTCCATCCCAATAGTTAGGCAGCGCAAGACCTACGAAGGCCACAGGAGATGTCAAACAAAAGGTCAAGCAGATGACGTCAGCTGCAAACGTTCAACTCTTTGCCCAGCCCCTATCCTGTTAGTCGGAAACAAAGGCCCGCGACACTGAGGAAAGCGTCCCCACCTGTTAAGATATCCCCCAATTTTCAGTCTAATGTTCTGTGAATTCGCCCAGTTGCCGCCAAAGATTCCGTCCAATGCCACTCTGGTCTTTGATGTCAACCTCTTAAGCTTCGACTGCAAGGCCTGTGAACCTGCGAGGAAGCTGACCTAGTAGCCAGCCCGCATCCGCCCAACCACCGGATGCAGCTACTCAGAACTGGGTGACATCCGAAGCCAGGAAGCTCAAGTTAAGACCTGCACCTGTAAAGCCACAGCTCCAAGCTCCTGCCAAGCCGTTTGCTTTACCTGCTTCAGGCTTGTGAATGTCTCAGCCATTTGCCTGCTTCGAAGCAACCTAGCACGACATGTGTGAGCAACACGTGTGTCGACACGCTCCGAGGCTGTTAGCTCTGTTCTGCCATGTAAGACCCTCGCAGACTGTTGTTGCTGACTCCCTGGCTATTGCTTCTCACAAACCGTAGCGCCTTTGGGCTACTCCGTCTGAAAACATAATCGACAACACACAAGGCAGCAGTTGCCCACCCCTGTCTTTCTTGCGATTCATGGGCTCAAGCTGCCATGGAGATCAGCCTGGCAAGAGACATTATGGCTTTCTGCTTGAGCCAAACACAGGAACCTCTTGCATGAATTCGGCGTTGCAGATCTGCACCACCAGAGCGAAGATGCATCAGCCAGGAGCGTGCAGCTGAAGAGCTCCAAAGGCGGCGGCGTGGTGAGCGACACTCAGCTCTACTACTGTTGAGCCCCACGGGACAAACTCGGGTCCGATAGGTCCGGGTGCCGTTTCTCTCGATCGAACAACATCCGAAACTCGTCGATATGCTTGGCATGAGTCCAGAGTCCAGAACATGCACAAGCCGGAGCAAACCGGGATTCATGTTGAAAGCAAGGGGCCAGTGGGCACTCGTCGGCCTCAAAAATGACAGAATTCAACAACTGCCTACTCTCACATCCCGACGTCGATCAGCCTGGAGGGCAGACCAGCAAGCTCAGGCTGTGCAGAGCTGCTCGACCAGGTGTTGCGACGGCAGCAGGCCAGACCCGGTTGCTTGAAATCGCTTTATGGTGCAGGGAGAATCTGTGCAGGTCGCTCACGAAGTTGGGCGCTTCGCTGGGCTCGAGATGTCCAGTCGGCTTTGTGCCTTGTGCCTCTGCCAATATGATATTCCACTGTACTCTCCCGTACATGTCCACATTTGACCAAGCCCCGGACAAGCTTCTTCACACACAGAGCTTGATAGTGAAAACGTCTTCACCCTACTGCAGTCGCTTGTTCTCCGGCCAAGGTCGACGCTTCTGAGCTGTTGCAAATAGACTTAAATAGACACAGCCTTTCTATCCATTTTCTCGTCCTTCCGAGATCGCGGTTTCACGGGGCCAACTTGCGCAGCTCGCTCGCGCTGCTGCGTCAGGAGAGGAACTTGTGGCACGTGCCGAGTTTGAGTCGCTTCGATGCTCCAATTTTCGGCAGTCCGAGGACGCCCGGCCTGAGCTCTACGTTTCTCGATGCAGTGGAACAGGGACGGGAAGGGGCCAGAGTTGCACCTGTATCGCAAAGGCATAGATGGCTTGTAGAAGCTTTGCCTGAGCCGTAGTCCAGTCTGGAGAATGCGGTAGCAGAGTGCCCGATGCAGGCGGATGGTGATCTTTACAAGGGCAAGTCACGACGTGACATAAGGGCACCTTTCAATTGGAGGTTTAAGTTACGCATGGCTAGACGAAGGCAACTAGTCACTTGTCGGTCTCGGTTCCAACAGTCTGCCCTGTTCATTCCTGTTCCATTTGTTAGAGGCCCCCAGCTCGAAGGGCTGTATGCACGAAGTTGGACTGCAAAGTAACTCCCAAGGTTTTCGGTGGTCAAACTAGCCGTCAAACTCTCGCCTCGGTCGAGCGCTTCGACTGGGTGGCGTGGCTGCATTGACCGGCAATGCTGGTCATCGCGAAACACTCATCCTTCCTCCGAGTTGCACGAGATATCATAGAGGGCAGGAGGGGTAAGATGGCAGGCGATCAGCGTATCGGCGTAGGTCGGTTTTCGCCCCTCGTTGCACTCATGCTGAGATATCAGGACTCCAGCACCTGGGAATCCCTGCCGCCCATGCCCACGGCGAGGAGCTTCTGCTGCGCCGCAGGCCAACAAAGAAGCTACACGTCTTAGATGGCAGCAGATTCTGGGAGACTAGAAAGAGCCGAGTCGCAGATGGGTGTGTTCACAGGCCAGAAACTAAACTAAGAACCCGGACAGCCCTGGGCGGCAAACTCTTCGTCTTCGGTGGCGAGAGAGCCATTTGGCCCAATCAGTTTCTCCGGGGTTGTACTTGCACATATGGTAGGTGGGCTTACACTCGCAGCGTGTCGTGCCATGGCACGGCCACGTCCAAGCAAGAAGAGCCGTCAGCACTTCAATGAAAAGCAAGCAGACAGGTCTGCAGTCGCACCAAACACTCGAGCAAGAATGTACTGCTGCGCCACTCCTGAGGACCAACGTGCAGCTTTCGCGGCTGCCGAGTGCTTCGACCCCGTGATGGCCTTGGCTCTTGAATCATCGAATTTGCAGGAATTGCGGCAGACAAACAAACGTGCTTGTTGGGTCTTCCTATGGGAACTCTCGTCTCGACCCCCTTTTGGTTCAGCCCTAGGCCCTGGAAGCTTGCCCATCAAAGCATCTCAGTATAACCTTCTCTCAGGTCAGTGGCGACTGGGAGCGGCTGCCACCTCTCCCAACGTCGTTTGCAAGTGGATTCTCCTGTTCGTAAGCCTAGCAACCGTACGCGATGCATCTGAGATGATGGCAAGGCCTAGGGCCGGGTGCTGCGCCGCTGCGGCGGCCAAGCGGCTCATGGCAACTCGTTTCAAAAGTTTTTCAAGATGCATGACTAAGATCTGCGGAGGTTTCACTTCTCTCCGCTCCTACCAGCTAGCGGCTAGCATTTCTTCGAGGTTTGCGGCGGCCTTGTCATGGCCTGGCAAGTCCTGGCCTCTCGGCAGAAGTTGCGTTGTGTTGCCTTTACCTTGCTTGTGACAAGATTGAAGACCGGGGCCTTTAGCATCGAAAGGAAATCTGGAGCGCAAGCATGGGCGTTTGTGAAGGTTCTGTGTTTGAGCCCCCTGTGATTCAAGCCGACCACCTGTCCCATCGCATTCGATGCAGCGTCTTGACGGATCTTGCCTGCAGGATCTTGGACCGAGGCAGATAAAGCAATTGATATCGCAGATGTTTTTTGGGTGCTTGCTTGAAGATGCCATGGGTATATGTCGAACCGGGCATTATCAGGGCAGGACCTGAGACACAAGAGCAAACAGCCCCTGCGCCAACAGCTTCATAGCACCAGGCATTGACACGGGAGACGTCACAGAACCACGTGTTTGCACTGCAGGACGTGGCTGAGGGCTACGATCCCGATACCCGAAAATGGCAGAGGCCAGTGATAGATTCCTGAGGGCGGATTGAGCCTTACAGGCAGTCATCCTGAGTGAGACTAGCCGTTCTTTACAGTTTTGGTGGCATCTTTGAGGGGGCGAAGCTGTTTCAAGATCCCGCCAGATATCCACCGATGCCGACTCCTCGATGCGGGTGTGCTGCTGCCGGCTTTGCCGACCGGGTGCCGAGAACTCTGGAAAGGGAGGATTCTTGTGGAAGTGGCCGGCAGAGAGAGAAGTTGAATAGAAGCAAGTGCTGCTTCATCTTGACTGGGGAAGTTATCGGTCGTTACCGGATAACCTTGGGAGAGCAAGTATTGCGAGATCTTTTGCCAGGTGCTTGTTTGCGGTGGCCAGCTTGCAGATGGGACGGTCTTGGACAAGGCAAGATCCAAGGAGAAGGAACAGCGAGCACGAGATGAGGGCTGTCTCGCATGGGTTCACTGATCACATGCGGGAACCCAAGCTGGGTGAGTTGTTGAGGTCGAGATGCTGTCGGTGCCCACAGAGAGCTGGGAGTGCCTGGCAGTGGCTTGGACATGGCTTACGTCTTTTTCATGTTCCTTCAACCCGCCTCTCTCGCATCACATTCGCATCGCCACAGCAATGGAAGGAGCGCTCCACGAAAAAGTACGGCGATCCGATCATCCGTCATACTGGCCATCCATCCAAGGCACTGCCATCTGCAAGGAGCGGCTGCAGTGCGGCAGTGGTTGCAGGAACCTTGCTTGTCCCATGGTCGGCAATTTAGTGTGGCTCCGCCAAGACGGAATTCGCATCCAGCTTGTTCCATGCTTTGGAGCCTGCTTTCGAAGATGGGACAGTAAATCCGCAGGCTGTGGTCTTTAAGAGTTTAAGATCTGAGGTCGTTGGTGGACTCGGCGGGAGTGGGCTCACAATCCCAGTTGTGGACCGCTTCGACCTGGAGGCCTCAAGGGAGAGATTCTGAACTTTCCGAGATGATCGGAATGGAGCAGAAGTTTAGTAGACTTTCTCCTTCGGCCGCAGGCCAGGGAGTGGACCTCACCTCTCTCCGTCACGCTTGCACGGGCTGGTGCTGCCCTGTGCGTCGTTGGGCACACCATCCATTTGCTCGGAGGACGGGGGATGACAGGGGATTCTTGAGGTGCTGAGGTTTTGTTGTTGTGAAGGTCTGCGGTCAATTTGGAGTTTGGAGGCTTCGATGGCAACCGACAAGATTGTGACCACCACGATGCCCTGGATCTGCGAACAAGCACCGTTTGTGCACTTCGGCCGCTGCCGGCCCCGAGGAGCCCACTACCAGTCACTACCACTGGCAACGTACACCAGTGGTTTGTAATTAGCTCCTCCTTCTTGTTCCATGACCTGCAGGAGGTTGTGCTGCGGTGCTGCCGTGGCGCGTTAGTGGAGAAAAGTTCAATCGGCTTCGTTGCTCGACGGCTCTGCCATGCTCTGCTCATACTTAGATGTAATATCCACTTGGGCACAAACATTCACGAGGAACATCATGCAACCGGAGCTTGTGGCCAGGACAACCTCTTCGGTGATTGGGCCTGCATGAGGCCGTCTTCAGCACGTGGTCCCATATCGCTCAATGGTTTCAGAATCTGAAGATCGTGAAGATCGTCTTCGAGGGGAGTTCATGCAGCTTTTAGCCTCGTGGATTTTTGTGTGGCATGCAGGACTGTGATTCGCGAAGGCGAAGGTTGGGGCTGCCTCATGGAGGACTGCGAGGCAAGCAGATGTCAGGAGCTTCAGCAGGCCGTACAAGCCGGAGTCTCGGCCTGGCAGATAACATCTTGTCTGTGAGTTCCAGGTGGAGATCTCCATCCGGGCAGAGGCAGAGGCCCGGCACCGCACAACTAGAACTCGCGGAAGAGCTGTTGGAGTTTTTCGAGGATGGACGAACGCTTGAAGAGCTGCGGCAGGCTGGACAAACTTTGTGACAGTGTGTGCAGCGATCCCACTTCAGAGAGCCCATGATGGGCTCGGCATGCTTCATTGGCTAGTAGGGAGGTCACTGAGACACAACATCGTGAGCCAAGTTCAGGATCAATCGCATCTAATCGCATCACATGCGTATTGGTTTGTGCTGGGCTCCAACAATTTGCCGGTGTAGCCTACCAAACGCAGGTGCCGTACAATCTCGGCTCGGGAAAGTCTTCAGCTTAGTGCCGACTGACTGCTTGATTTCCAGTCCTTGCGTCTCTAGCTTGTAACAAGCCCAAACTGGCAATGGCATTTTGTGTGCACAGTCCACAAGTGTTTTTCCACTGCATGATGTTCGTCACGGCAAGCGGCAGCAATGTGCGAGTCTTGCTCGCCCGATCCGCGCTTCCAACTTTGGCCCAGACCGCTGCGACTTCATTTTGCGAGGATTGAAATTGAAAGCTCTCACCACACCGATTCTTCGACAACACGACACCGCGAAAGGGGAATAAACACACTCTGTCGCACTGCAAGCTTCGGAGCAGATCCACGCCTGGCCGAAACAGATGTACATAGGAAGCCATACGCATGGAGTACAAGCTTGAGCTGCCATGGTCCGGCCCTGAGAATTTGCAGTTGTCAAAGCTTGTGCTTGCAGATCCCACCCAAGTTGCTCATGCACCCAAAAGTAACCAGCCGTACTACATTGGCAGGTCCGTGAACAGTAACATCAGCTAAGAAACGAACTTTGCAGCCTGCTTTGCCAGACATCCAACGAAGCAGACTGTTTTCTTGCAAATAAGCCTGCGTCCACGTTCCAATGCCAGGAACTGTTCAAGGCATTTCAGAAGGTTGAGGGCGAGCTCATCGTGTGCGCATGTGTTGTGCTGGAAACACTCTTGGTTCTGCTCCTGGGTTGCATGGCATGTCGTTGTTTTAGCTTTTGTCATAGGGCTACTTTGTGGAACATGAATTCGCAACAGCATGCAGCCGCAAGACTGCAAGGGTCTGTACCTGGATCAGTGTGCAAGCCCAACATCACCGGCTCCCGCATGACATGTCGAGCCTATCCAGTGTCAGACTCGATCACTGAGGAAGCTCTTCGTGCTTTTGCTCCAGAACCTGTACCGGAGCCCATGTCAGGGTGGAGAAAGGAATCCAGTGATGCAAGAGGTATGGCGCGGTTGCAAGCGAGGTTGCAACTGGGTGAAGACGAGCCTGGGACATTTGGCTGGTCCGACCAGCAAGCCGATTGCTGAAGCCTGGGATTCGTTGCAGCGTAGGCTGCTCCTGTACTTCAGCAGATCCATTCTGGCTTGTGGCATGTACCGCATCATCGCAGTGCAGGTATGGTATTTTCAAGGTAGAAGCCGACGCCACCCATCCGTCGATTTGCCACTGCTCGGCTCCTTTGCCGTTCTTCTGATGGTCTCGACCTTCCCATGCTTTCGAACGCGGATAGCAATGGACCTTTTATTCTGGCTGATGCAAGTACTCAGCATCGTGTCCATGCTGTTGGCTCAGCCAAATGATACCATCCAAGTTGTGGTACTGAGCCCGGGCAAGATAGCATTCGCCGTGTCATCCTGGTTGTCATTTCAGTCATGTTCAACTGCCTCCGCTCAGACCGGTATAGTACGCATATAAGCTGTGGCCACTTCATGGCCAGAGCACTGGCGCCGAGCCAAGGACTGTCGTCTTGCGCACTGTTGCCTCCCTGTGGGTCCGATCTGGATGGTGGGCTTTGATCGCATACCTCCCGAACCTTGGTTGAGGCACCGTCAACCCGGCAGGTTTCACGGCACTTCACGGGCTCTGAGGACCTAGGATGATTTTCCCGAGGTTTTCAGTGTGATAAATGAGTCTTTGTGCTTTGGATGTATTGGTACATTCAGGCCGGTCGATTCATTCGACATGCAAGTCAAATGGCCACTGGCTGTGACATGAAGATCTCCATCTGTGGCCATGAAGCTTTCCTTAGAGCCCACCCGGCCCAGGAACAGCATCTACGTGGTTTATGCGGCACCGTCCCTGACTGCATTAATTAAGTAACCAGTAAGTAGCTGCTGCAATCTTGCACACAATCCTCATGATGTTGCGAAGCAAAGAGTTCTGGCGACTGCGGATATCTAAGGCGAGCGTGCGCTATCCTGTGCTGTAACTTCTGATATACTCAGAGTTTATTTATAATGGTAGCATTGAGAGCTAAATCACTTCTACCTACCGTTGCAGACATTTCCACAGGGAGCTTCAGCAATCCCCACGGCAACCTGAGCCTTCCATTCAAGAATTGTAGTAGGTCCAGATTCCCTGAAGGTCGGGATCAGACATCAACTTCCCAGTAGGTCAGGAGAAAGGATGTGGCGATGTTCTTGTTGCTGAGGTGTTTTATGTTTGCGAGCGCGTTGACCGGGAGTGCCCCCGCATTAGCTGTAAAATCCCATGCTTTGGCCGCTCCGGACTTAAGAATAAACAAGAAAGCGGGGGCAGCAGGAGACCAGCAGAAACGGAAGCGGCAAAGCCAGCCAAAAGTAAGAAAGACACAGATTACACATGTATCTGGGTTTATATATATATATATACATATATACACATGCATATAGGTGTGTATGTATATATATATATATATATATCTGTGTGTGTGTGTGTCTGTGTGTGTATGTATATATATATATATATACGCGTATCCAGGATGACACTTGGCAGTTCACTCGCTGCAAGCCTTGGCGTCGCCCTGGCTATCATCACCTTGCGTCATTTCATGTACAAGACTGTGGAGCTGTGCTTCCCGGCCTCAAGCCGTGTTGCACTAACTGAGGCCGGCCAACATAAAGTGCAGAATGAGGCAAGATGCAGGCATTGCTTGAGTCATGGCTTTTGCAGAGAAGCCGTAGCATTGCACACGTTTGCACGGAGTTTAGTCTAGCCTGTCACAAACCAAAAATATCATGTCACTGATGCCTGGATGCATGCTCGAATCACGCTTGATTTGGCATGCCACAGGCATAACACTGGTAGTGGTAGTCGTCGTCGTGGTATTTCTTCTTATACTACTACCGCTACGCCTCCTCCTCCTCCTCCTACTACTACTACTACTACTACTACTACTGCTGCAACTGCTACTGCTACTGCTACTGCTACGACTACTCTCATCCCTGGAGGTTACAGGGGCCTTCATACAGTACCTGTCCCTTGCTTCAGGCTCCTCATGCGGCAAGCAACTTACAAGAACTGCCATGCAAACTAGGCTGCTGTAGTTGAGTCTCTCTGGCACAGAGCAGTCTCTCTTAAGCTACTTCTTTCAGCTTCACCTCTTAACCGAGTCGGCACCAATAACCTCACCTGGCCTGTCCGAGAGTGAGCGCCGAAAGAAGCCAAAGACCTTCAGGCTTCGATCTGAGGGCCAAGACGACCAAGCTCGATGCTGTTTCAGCTTTGATGACAGGCGGGGACCGTTCCGAGTCTCATTCCTCTTCAGCAATTTGGAACAATCCGAGATCACAGGGGCTTCTGACTTTTCGTTTAACACACTCCAGGCTCCGTAAATGCAAAGACTGTCCGTTCGTTCCCCAAGTCAGGCTTCTGCGATTGTGTTGTACATCTTGATCGCGACCTCAAGCTGCTGGAGGATGTGTCGAAGTAAACGATGGAGAGCATGTGCTTAGGGACAATGCGCTAAGGCATCATGACCAACAAACGGAACAGCAAGATCCGAGATGTTTGGATTTTCTGACCGAGATTCGCTTGGCACTCTGCGGGTGTGCATGCCACGGTTCCGTTCTTTGGGCACTCGCAAAATCGGTGCCACATCCGGGCACGAGCGTGCAAATCGCTTGGAAGCGAGGGCTTTGCCCTCAGCCTCTTGGAGGCACTGGCAGCGCTGGTGCCCACTGCCACACCTGGCTAGGGCAAGTTCTCGTGCTTCCTTCGTGATGTTGGGAAAAATATGATCAATTTATGGTGTTGAACGGCCTGCTTTCCAGTGACAGCACGCCGACTGCCTGAGATGGCGATGGGCCAGGTTCCTACACGCATGTTGGAGCGACATTCACGCATGCTGTGCTTTACCGCAGTGCACAAGAATCCGAAGAAGCGCAGTCGACTTCGGCGGCGGGGTTCGGTACCAAGTCGCGGCGCTTAGGAACAGCGTGGAACTGCAGCAGGAGAGAAATAGCTCTGGCAAGGACTTGCCAAGCGATCATCCTCGAGCTGCGGCTACCGCAACCACGATGACATTGCGGGCGGAAGATCTATGTTTCAACAGAATTGCCTGCGAATTCGTCAAGTGCCTCCAACTCTGAGGCTTAATCACGTCGCTGGCACCGCCGGAGCGGTTCGGAAACCGCCTTTGACCTAAAAATCAACCAAATGTATTTGCTCCATGTCATGGGTTTCTGATTCTGTGCAGGATCAAAAGGTGCAAAAGGTGAAAGTATGCCTGCTATCGTTCTAGAGATTTTGTTGAGTGGAGATTGCTTGGTTGATGTTTAGCAGCCATGTTCCGAAGGACTCGCCGAGGATCGCGGCACTGCTCCTTTGTGGCGCCTCGAATTGCACCCGCGGCGCCAGCTTTCTCCAGCTTCTAAGCAGGAAAGAGGAGATCATGGGAGATTGTTCTCAAGCAGTGTGTCGATTGTTCCATGACTTTCTGTTGTTTGGGTTCTTGGTCATATGTCATGATTGGGAGCTTCGACATTGGAATCAAGATTGAAAGTACATACATTCATGTAATGGATGCAACGGCAGAAAGCGAGAACACCAGTGAGATTCAAGAATTTGGAGTAGAAAAGAATCTGTAGCTGCCCCTCTCTTTCTCTCTCGATATCCGCTCGGTCTCTCTGCTCCTCGGAAGCCGAGGTTGGTTTGCGAGGACGATCGAGGCTGGCGGGGCTCAGCAAGCTTTCCCACATTTTGGAACTGCAGGTGGGGCCAGATAGCTAAGACAGGCAGGGCTCAGATTGGACATCAGAAACGCTCCTGGAGGCCGTGTTCGGAGCCTTTTCGCCGATTCGTTCGCTGCGCCAGTGACGCATTCTTTGGCCCTCAATGTGCGCCTGGTGGACTCCGATGGCAATCAGGTGAAGGCCAGGAGACGAATAATAGGGCAGAAGCAAGTTCCATCATGTCCCGTCAGAAAGCTCCGAGTTCAACCCAAGGTGGAGATGATGCACATACCCTTCTTTGACGAGCAGGGCGAACCTTGCCACCTATTGTGTTTGAGGGAGTCGGACGATATCACGACGGCATCAACAGTGGCACCACTGCAGCGTGACACTGTGTCCGCAACTCTAGTCAATTTTGGAGGTGCCACGGAGGAGGCTTATGTTGTTTTTGATGCCACGACATTCGATATCCTCATTGCGAGCAGCGACTTCGAAGCGTTGTTCGCCAAATGCACGGGGCACGCTGCCAATCTTGAGGAAATGAGCGTTCATGACTTGTCCACAGATGTCGGAGAACCATCCCTGAGTCGGCGGATTCAGCTAGTGGTAAACTCTTTCTATCACAACAGCTCGAACAACATCGATCTGGGTATCTTTCAGTTCTTCGGCGCATGCAAGATGCAGGCCAGGTCGCACATGTTAAGGTTTTGCGAATCCTGGCACTTCAGCAATCCCACTCTGCCTGCTCCACACGAAGATATCGGATGACAGCCTTGAAGAACTTGGAAGGTGCGAGTGGAATTGCGACACGACGCAGCTCTGGCAACGCTCGTGGGTACGCTCCATGTCACGCCGACAAATCCTGGACTGCTTCTTCAACCACAGGACTGGTCAAGAGTCAAGTCATAACATATCATAACCTGTCCGTCGCACGTGCCATGTGTTCATCTATAGAGACTGAGTTTACAAAAATGTGCCTGGCCGTGAGGTGCATGTGGGTCGGCGCAAGAAGGCTCGAAGCTACTATGCCAGTCCGGTGCCCAACGGGACGTTCACGCGTGTAGAGCACGTTTTAGAAGGACAACGATTGCTTCTGTAGGCCAGAGCTATCAACGAACCCAGAGATCACAGATAGTTATAGTTACTCTATGCTACTCTGAATTCACGGCAACTGCTCCTGGAATCGGGAAGGATTTTTTCGTCTAGTTGATGAGTTTCAGCCCAGGCCCAAGCGAAACAACATTGTTGGTTTATCACGATATTATCAGCACACGTGGAAGGGGAGACTGGATTCATGGGGTAAGCCCACGAGTCGTTGCTTTGAGAGAAGTGAGGCCCACGACCGATGACGGCCTTTCCAACTCGTGTGATCGAGCTTTAGGCTTTGGGGCATGTCAGCCGCGCGCGTTTGTTCGGCACAGTATGGCCGGTGTGGTCTTTCTAGTCACGCGACTTACTTGCATCGATTTCAGCGTCTGCAGGCAATGCTTCTGACATTAGAATTTCATTAAATGGATTTCGATCAGGAAAGGGTAAACCCAGTGGGTGGGGAATCAGCGACCTGTCAGTGCACGCCTGCTCCCAGCGATTGAAAATGATGAGACGGTACCAGCAAGAGTTCCATCTCGCTTGCACGCGCAGACCATGCATATGATTTGAATTCGTTTGCCGCAAGCTGTCACACGAACAGGCCGGCATCATGTCTGCATTTGACAGTTTGAGGACCTGGCAGCAGGACTGAGCTTGTTTCCCTGTGGTCATCTTTCACTCACTGAGCCGGCGGCGGCATGAAAAGCGCGATGAACGCAACCGCAACCCGGGTATTGCAGCGACACAGGCCAAAGTCTACGATGCTCTCTTGGGCATCGCAATTCGACAGCAACCCTTTTCCAACCACTACCAAGTGAGACTTGAGATGTCTGGTGTATATCATCCCCCGATGCATATATCTCCGTGTCACACCTGTGTAAATGTGCAAAGTCACTGTGTAGCCATGCAGATCACCATGCGTGTTGATATGTACGTCCTTTCTGATTCCTGTTCTGCTTGCGAGGGGCATCGCATCCTCGCAGAGAAACCCAGCTCGTCGCCCCTAGCTGTGCACTTCAGGCTTGGCGACCTCAGCCGTGTAGCCGATCGTGCCCTGCGCGAGATGAAGCGTGGACCTGAGACAGCCCAAAGCGCGCGTTGCCCGCAGGTTGGTCAAGTGGAATGGGTCATAAGGAGATCCCAAGCTGCAGCGTGACAATAGAGCCGTGCGGCTCAAGGAATGAATCAAAGTAGAGACTCCGAGTACTTAGAGATCCAGTGCGCGAACTTGGAAAGATGTCAATATCGTGAGGGGTCTAGTCGAATGCGACCGAACCTGAAAGGCTGCGACGACAGGAACCGAAAAGGTCAGAGTGTCACATACACTTAAATTATGTGCCGATCACCTACACGAAAACTGCAAGTCTTGCAACAGTGACTGGACCAAGCTCTTCACCTGAAGCCTTAATTAGTGCGGAACGAGATTGCAAGACTAGCGTTGCAGAGCTGAGCGGCATGCCGGAGTCTGCGGATCCACAACGCAAACGTGCGCGGGACGAGACGGTGCAGGACTCCCCAACGGTTCGAAGGCTCGAAAGGGGAGACGAGCCATTTTAGACCTTTCGTCCCTGACCAGAGTGTGACGATGTTTTGTATTTGGCCCAAGACGGCAGTGAAAGGAACGAAGTAAACTGCCCACGGCGATTTCCAGGGTCAGGTCGAAGCAGGAGTTTCCATAGGCAGTTCGTGCTACTCAGGCCACTGTCAAAGCGTTTGCTGCCGTGGTTTTGAAACTGCACGTATGCTTTGTGCTTCCTGCCAACAGTTCCAACTCAGCATGGCATAGCGTTTTCAAGATACAGAACCTGAACCACGACTTCAGGACACGGCACAAGACCTGAAGCAGCGAAAGCTTGATGGCTTCTTCAGGCATCGGACCAATGCTTGCGGAAGTGGATTTCTTCAAACAGGACGTTGTGAAGGGCAATGTCGAATTGTCGAAAGACTGTCGATGCAGGATACGGGTTTCCCCAAGGAGGGAGAGTGCAAACCCGCTGCAGGTCGCACTCGGCACCTGCCTTGGCCGCAAGCGTGGCATCGCCGCTGCGCTCAAAGTCGGCACCCGTGCTCGGGCAGGCAACCTTCGGGCTTAAGACGTGGCGCTTCGCTTCGACATTCAGCTTCTGGCTCAGGAGTGTACTGTAGGTTTTGAACTTTCCAACGCTGCACTCGGGGAAGGGATTGTTTACATTTAGTAACGACAAGTTGCTTTTGAATCGGGCCGATGCAGCGAATGCACCTGATGAGAGCGGTTGATCGCGTCCCCCATTTGCGAAGCACGCCCCGAATAGCACAAACACAATCGGAAAATCCCCCTGAAAACACCCTCCTTTTGGAACCTATTTTGGGATCTTTGTGAACTGACTGTCGACGGTCTTGTGAGCCCGCCTTTCCCGCATTCCTCACTTTATTTAATGGCTGCCGCCACTGCCGCCGACCCCGGCGGTGGGGGTGGTCGGCGCGGTGGGGGTGGTGAGTGTGCTGGGGGCGGTGAGGGCGGTGGGGGTGGTGGGGGTGGTGAGGGTGGTGTGGGTGGTGAGGGTGGTGAGGGTGCGGGGGGTCCGGGCACACATTGGCAGCCTTTAAATACTCTCTAACTAAACACATACAAAAACCTCCAAGAGTGCTGGAACGTGTGTGAGTGGTGGGAGTGGTGGTAGCAATCCGAATGGTGGGCGGGGCGGTGAGGGTGCTGGGGGCAGTGAGGGCGGTGGGGGCGGTGGGGGTGGTGGGGGTGGTGTGGGTGGTGAGG